GACTCTGCGTCTCTGCTTTGCTGGGAACCGTCGAATTTCAAATTGTGCGGTTTTGTAAAACGTATGTTCTCGCCGTTTTCGCGCCTTCTAATGTGGATTTTCGGTTTCAGCGTCGCGGATAACCCCCGGTAAGTAGATTTTGAAATCGAGTTTTTGCCCGGACACTGCCTTTGAGCGTTCACTCCGCGGATGACCGCGAAGCTGAAACAAGTCGAGACAAGTTCATGCACCTGCTGTGGAAACTTCGAGGGTTGTGTTAGCGAATCAGCATCTGAATAAAAAAGATTATTCAGAGTAGTTAATGTAGTTGATGAGTCAGGCACAACCCCTCAAAAGGTCAGGCTGCCTGTTCATTTGTAACTTTCTGCTCAACCCCTTGATTTGTCCAAATCCAGAAATCGTTCCATTCCTAATGTGGGTATTGAGCTCATAGCCTCTTCGCCACAATGAAAGTAGGAGCCAAACATCCCACCCCTAGAACAATTATGGTTATTTCAACAGGCGTATTCAGATCAAAATTCGCTGTCAAATTATCAATTTTTTGACTAAGAGATGCGATTACGCTTTGCGTACGTATGATCAACAAGTTCATGATTGAGTTTTAACGCGTTTTGGTCAATTATTATAGGGAACTAGCTGGCATACCCGGCTCCGCCGTATGTTCCGAATAGAAAATTCCATTTCTTCACCGATCCGAACCAAACTTGGCACACATACACTACGGGCCCCGGCGCGTGTCATAGGCTACTCGATCGATATCGATTTTATCGATTTTTATCGATTTTTTGCAAAATTTGAGCTAGGGGGCTGGGATTTGGCACAGGGGGTAATCGAGCATGCTGATCACCCCCGTGGGGGTGATCAGCATGCTCGATTACACCCCCTGCCAAATTCCAGCCCCTAGCCCAAATTTTGCAAAAAAAATCGATAAAATCGATAAAAGTAATGCACGATTTTAAAAACTAATATTGTATTCGGAATCCCCAGGCTCACTTACCCCCCTGTGCCAACTCCCAGCCCCGTAGCTCACATTTTGCAAAAAATCGATAAAATCGATATCGATCGATACGAAAAGTAGCCTATGACACCCGCCGGGGTCCGAAGTGTATGTGTGCCAAGTTTGGTCCCGATCGGTTCAGAAATGGAATTTTCTATTCGGAACATACGTACAGACAGACAGACAGACATACAGACAGACAGACAAACAAACATTCAGCTTTATATATAAGACTAGCGACCCTACGGGTCGCTAGCAAGCGGGTAGGGCACACCCATAAATAAACTTCATACCTATAATTTTCTCAAGTGAATTTTCTAATTATCAGTATATGTATTGCCACAACCGCTCAAAAGTAACATTTTCAGAGATCTTTTCAATGGGAGGAAAGTGAGTTATAGTCGCTCTAAAATTTTGCTTTGCCCTAGTCATCGCTGTACAGCTTCCTTTCGCAATGTCACTCTCGCACTCATGCTTACAATTCGGAGACAAAAATCGAACTCACCCAAAGCAAAAGCTCCCAAGAGCGAGATTTTCGAAGATTCTCAAAATTTGGCGGAAAAGTTGGTTATATCGTGCTAAATTTGGTTTTGCCCCAGTCATCGCTGTACAGCTTCCTTTCGCAATGTCACTCTCGCACTCATGCTTACAATCTGGAGAGAAAAATCGAACTCACCCAGGGCAAAAGCTCCCAAAAGCGAGATTTTCGAAGATTTTCTCAAAAATTGGCGGTAAAGTGGATCATATCGTGCTATTTTTTGTTTTGCCCCAGTCATCGCTGTACAGCTTCCTTTCGCAACGTTATCTCGCACTCATGCTTACAATCTGGAGAAAAAAAAATCGAACTCACCCAGGGCTAAAGCTCCCAAAAGCGAGATTTTCGAAGATTTTCTCAAAATTTGGCGGAAAAGTCGAAGCATAGTGAATACTGAGATTGGATGTGAGCGGATCAAATGGTAGGCTTCTACAACTAACTTTGCAACAATGACCAATGACCAGCTCGCAATTTCAACACCCTTTGCACGCGCTTGCGTCTTTCAACACACCCATTGCAGCAGCAGAGCGTACCCTGCGTGCCGTGGCCTCTCGTTCGTACTAGGACCTCTGCGTCCTCTTCACCTCATGATCGCACCGTCGCGTCTCTACACAATAAGGCCCCGTTCGGCAACTGGCGTCTATTCAAAACACCCGTTAAGCATACGTGTGGGCGGACCATCCTCGCCATCTCGTTTTTTCGGAACGGGTTTATATTATAGGAGAGGATTCGTGGAAGGACGTGTTCAAGCCAACGTGGTTTGACGACTTCAAACATGTTCCTCCACGCTAATAGTAAATCAACCAAAACGCGTTAAAACTCATTGAACTTGTAATGAAATGTACGCAAAGCGTACTCGCATCTCCTAATCAGAGATTGAATGATACATGTGCTTACAAAATCATTCACCCAAAAGCGAGCATACACACGTCAGAAATTCCAAAACTCATTGGTAGATGCCAGAATTTTCGTAACCGGTTCATTCGCTTAACAACATTCGCTACATTGGTCAATTCAGTAATTTGACGAATGGAGAATGAGTGGACCGAGCGTACCGGTTGGACCGTTTAAAGGCAGTGTCTCACCAAAATTTAGTTGCCGAAATTTTCGCATTTTGCAAGCCTGTCGGACCCTGTCTAGCACTTTATGGGCTTAAAATCGCACGAAGTTCCCAAAAACCCCGTTTTCTGGAGGCCCCGCGGAAGCAACGTGGACGAGTTGTAACTTCCAACTTCAGCCTCAGCCACAGTGGCAGCAACAGAGGGGAGGTGGATGCCAAGTGGAGGAACATGTTCAAACACGTAAGGGGGGAGACCGAAGGAGTCGTACGCGCGTACCAGCTCGCTCTCCGCGTACCACTTTGAGCGAATTTTTCTCAGCGTAGAGGGGGTCCAATTGAGTGGGACTTGTTGCAATGGCCTATCTAGAGGTCCCTATAATAGAATATGTAAAGATCCCCGCGACCTCAACTTTGGTGAGACACTGCCTTTAAGTCTGGCGTCTGTCATTAGTACAGGCGATGTTCTTCAGAATGTCACGCTCTGGCGTAGGGCCAGAATTACCCGATTCAACTGGTACGTTCTTTCACTCATCCGTTATGGTCAGATCAATGAATTGACCAATAACTAATTGGATGAAGCGGATGATTCGGTTGAACCAGTCAGGTCTGACACTTGCCTTATGTTTTGGAGGTGAAAAGGAGGAACAAGGGGCCGTGGCTTCTCGGAGGGGGAAGGGGTTTCAAAAGATTTGTACCTGACCTCTTGCTTGGCTCTGCTCCTCACCTTACCCCTCTCAGGCCGCACCACACTTCTCAGACATTCGCTGTTGACTCGCGCAGCCCAAAGTTTTGTGTAAGCGCTGAATGAAGGCGCGACACAAGTAATCGGCCTCGCGACGAAATCCCGAGGCAGCATTATGTGTCGGAACAATGCTGCCCGAGACAACGCTTTGACGCGACCCGCATCTTGCAGGAAATACGCGGCAGCTCGAGGGCGACACATCTTGATGTCCTGACGCAACTGGAGCGCGTTATCTCGCCGTTATCTCGCTCTTCGCTATATCCCTACTTGCTATACATTACATAATAATATACTCATAGGTGTATGTATAAATATACATTACATATATTAATATATACATATATATTAGGTCGGTGCAAAAGTTTTGTCAGTTTTTTCAATCCATCGGCAAACACGCTAAAATGGAGAGAAACAAACACTTCAAAATGTATCCGATGCAGAATTTCTTCGCCTTTCCAGCTGCTAAACTCTCTTTGCGTTTCGTTACGAGATTGACGAGATATCTGCTGGAAAATACAATCACTCGTTTTTACCATGTCCAAATTTCACTAATTTTCAAAATATTTGTATCAGACTTTCGGAAGAGCCTTAATAACCATCAGATAGGGGAAACCTTTTGCCAACTTATGCAATTTTTTGTAGCCCTACGGCTTGCCTTTCAGAATTTTTACGATTTGTTTTTGAAGTGACCAAATTTTACATTTAGCCTATTTTAACTTCGTAGAACCTAAAATGTTAAACATTTCAGCCACCATTCGATTCAACTTTTTCTCCTCCTTCTAACACTTGTCTTTTTTTGCCGAGACAGGCGAAATTTGTGGGGAAAATCGCAGTATTTCTCAATTTCAGGAATGCGCACTGCCGTAACCTATGTTTCAAAATCTTCTTAATTTGAAGCGAAAATCGCTCATGTACTTTGTAATAGTAGCGGTAGTAATAATCGAGTGTTAAACCTCAGTATTCTGTAGGTTTTGCAGTGTTTGGGTACAATAACAGGTTATGCGATTTTTCCAAAACACAAGACTTTTAGAAAATTATTTAGCAAAAATCTGAAAAAGCAGCTGAGAGAAAGAAAAAAATTGCGTAAGTTGGCAAAAGGTTTGCCCTATCTGGTGGTTATTAGGGCTCCTCCGAAAGTCTCATACAAAAATTTTGGAAATTAGTGAAATTTGGACATGGTAAAAACGAGTGGTTGTAATTTCCAGCAAATATCTCGTCACTCTCGCAACGAAATGCAAAGAGAGTTTAGCAGCTGGAAAGACAAAGAAATTCTGCATCGGATACATTTTGAAACGTTTAAGTATTTTCATTCTAGCGTGCTTGCCGATGGATTGAAAAAACTGACAAAACATTTGCACCAACGTAATATAAAGGTATATACCCTCGAAATCATCCCATAGGTCTTCCCTCAACATGACGTGGATTACGTAGCTTGATGAGGCGCCGCCTCGCCCCGGGCTTGCGCCACGTTGCGTGCGCATCTTCGGCGTGATGTGGCAACAAGAAGAACGTGGAAAAGCCTGCGCCACGTTGTGTTGAGCGCCACGTCGCGCCAAATGATGCGCTCGCAACGTGACGCGAGGCCGAGGCGAGGCGGCGCCTCATCAAGCCACGTAATCCACTCATGTTGAGGGAAGACATATGGGATGATATCGAGAGTATATATCGTTTGTTCCCCAGCAAGATTCCCATAGGTACCACGTCATCTCGCTGCTTTTCGCACTTTTGAACGTGTTAACCTCGGGCACTTCCTTGAAATCTCAGGAGAAACGTGTTAAAAAGAGCGAAATTACATGATGAGATAGAAGTGTACTTGGTAACCGTTTAAACAATGAGAATCTCGGAATGCAAATAAGTGATACGCAAAAGCGGGAGTAGAGTTAAGGCAAATGATATGATAGTGATCTGTAAGTACAGCAAATTAGAAAAAAGTAGTAGCAGATGGGCTAAAACTCGTCGGGGCTGGTCTTTTCTATTTCCTTGACAGCAGAAGAGCTGCTTGCCGTAGTCTCGATCACACGCTTCTTCTGAAAAGAAAAAACCATGTCGACGAAGACTGGGAATAATGCACTGGCATCTTACCTTTGAAGGAAGGAGTTTAGCTCTGACCGCATTTAGTACATAAGCCCGTACATCTCCCCTGCAAAACGCAATATGGAATGTCCATCTGCCTTATCAATACTCCAATAGCTTACAAGGCTCTTCCGAGGGCTATGCGAGCGAAGACCGCCCAATCCATCCTGGCCTGTGCGAGCATGTCGAAGGCTTTTGATCGCTCCCTGTCGTCTTCCAAGATTTGTCCACCATCTAAACCAATGAAAAATAATAATGCAAACTTAGGATTCTCCAAAACATACATCGTGGGTTCCTCATTAATTATGAAGCTGGTAACAGCAAATCATCAACGTATAAGCCAAGAGCATCCAGAGCGAAACCTTAAAAATGAGAAGAAGGTGCGAAATGAGGAAACAGTGGAGCCTACTTATTGAAAATATGACAAGACAAAATGTGACATCCCACAATCACGGAGATAGTCGAGCTTCGATTTCTAGAGAAGAAGCTTTAAAATTGATTTCAAATAAAGTTGAATTTGGATTGGAATGAAACAACGGAAAGGAGAGGGCTTAGGTAGGACGGATGGAATGCACGAATTTAGAAAATAAGTAGCAAAAAACCTGAAATTATGCAATACTAGCTGGCTTACCCGGCTCCGCCGTATCCGGACCAAACTTGGCACACATACACTTCGGGCCCCGGCGGATGTCACAGTCCACTTTTCGTTATCGATCGATGTCGATTTTACCGATTTTTATCGATTTTTTTGCAGAGTTCACCTACAGGGCTAGGAGTTTGCACAGGGGGGAAGTGAGCATGGGGATTCCGAATACAATATTAGTTTTCAGAATTATCGATTACTTTTATTGATTTTATCGATTTTTTGTAAATTTTGACCTGCGGGGCTGGGAGTTTGCACAGGGGGTAATCGAGCATGCAGATTACGATTACAATATTAGTTTTCAAGATCGTCCATTACTTTTATCGATTTTATCGATTTTTTGAAAATTTGAGCTAGGGGGCTGGAATTTGGCACAGGGGTGTAATCGAGCATGCTGATCACCCCCCCTTGGGGATGATCAGCATGCTCGATTACCCCCCTGTGCCAAATTCCAGCCCCCTAGCTCAAACTTTGCAAAAAAATCGATAAAATCGATAAAAGTAATCGATAATCCCGAAAACCAATATTGTATTCGGAATCCCCATGCTCGATTACCCCCCTGTGCGAACTCCCAGCCCCGTAGCTCAAACTTTGCAAAAAATCGATAAAATCGATAAAAGTAATCGATAATCCTGAAAACCAATATTGTATTCGGAATTCCCATGCTCGATTACCCCCCTGTGCCAACTCCCAGCCCCGTAGGTGAACTCAGCAAAAAAATCGATAAAAATCGATAAAATCGATATCGATCGATGACGAAAAGTAGCCTATGACACCCGCTGGGGCCCGTAGCGTATGTGTGCCAAGTTTGGTCCGGATCGGTTCAGAAATGGAATTTTCTATTCGGAACATACGTACACACATACAGACAGACAGACAGACATACAAACAGACATTCAGCTTTATATATAAGATGAGCTGAGATTTGAAATGCGCGTCGATATTGCGAAACTGCTCGCTGAGTCACACATCATCTCCCGATTTCCTTTCGCGACCATCCGCAGAAACTGTCAAAATATTGTCTCGCGCATGTCTACGCCCTTTCCCGTGAATCCCTCAAAAAGGGGCGGATCTCCGGCGCGAGTCAACAGCGAATGTCTGAGTTGACCTTGCCAGGCCGCATCATTTGCCTCGCCCTGGCTCAAAAATGCTGCGCCCCAATTATATCTTCTGTTCCATCTATGCCGATGATACCAAACTCATTCGTAACAATGCCACTGAATTAATGTAAAAAGCTTTAGATGCGGTGGAGGATTGGTCAGTAAAATGGGAGCTTGATATCTCGATATAAAAATCATCATCATGTTGCAGCCAAGCGTCCCCGATTTATAAATCAGGTTGACACATGAGTTTTGCGATTTATTTTGTAACTTTTCTTTTTTTGACTGTGACGCATTGATTTTTGGTCACAATGTGTATTAGATAGTAGGCTACAAACTTGCGCAAACAGTTTGATTTTTGGTTTCAAAGGGAGAAAAATCGCTCATTTTTCGGAAGCTGGTCAAATCCGAAATTTTAAGGTCCGAAAACTATAAATAAGGCCGTTTTCAGTTTGAATCAAATACATCACGCCGAAACTATACCCAGGTTGCTGTTAGAGGAAACTTTGAACATCTACTCACTTTAGGCTTGATTTGTTTGATTTGGACTGAGAACGGCTTCATTTTAAGTTTTAGGACCGTTGAAATTTTGAATTTGACCAGCTTCCAAAAAATGAGAAAATGTTCTCCATTTCGCTACCAAAAATTGAACTGTTCACGCAAGTTTGTAGCCTACTGTCTAATGTACATTGTGCCCAAAAGCGAATGCGTCACAGTCAAAAGAGAAAAGTTACGAATTAAGTTGCAAAACATATACGCCAACCTATTACTTAAGAAATCAAAAAGTTCGGTAACAATTTCAGTTAAGATCTCGGTATCATATGATGAGGTCAACTTTGAGCATTACAAGAAGCGCTTGCTAGAATGGCTTATGCCAGATGTAATTACATACTGCGTGCCTTTCGAAATACAAATTTGAGACTCTTTTCCGCCTCTTTTCTGCCTTAGGCAGGTGCTATACTCCTCGGGGAGTATAGCATGGCGACGATCGATATGCATTAAATACGTGTAAAACCAACGATTTTTGTCGCCGATATTGGCGATCGCCAGTCGCTACGACGGGCGATCGCCAGTCACTACGACGGGCGATCGCCAGTCGCTACGACTGGCGATCGCCAGTCACTACGACGGGCGATCGCCAGTCGCTACGACTGGCGATCGCCAATCGCCAAACAAGTTACCGTTAAGTGTTGAATGTGAAAATCACTGGTCTTGCAGTTCATTCTTTTTAGAGCGACCTCACCGTCTGGTGTGTACTTTGAAATGGAAGTGGGAAGTGAGTAATGTGTAGTCGCCAACACTGGCGACTACACATTAAATGTGTATCGATTGGACGTGTGGTAACTTGTTAGCGATCGATTACGCATAGAGGACACAGTCGCCAGTATTGGCGCCGGGCGATCGCCAGTCGCTACGACTGACGATCGCTCGTCGCCATGCTATACTCCTCGAGGAGTCTAGCGCCTGCCTTAGTTCGACCATTACTAGAGTACTATACCCATGTTCGGTCTTCCTCCACGAAGAAAATAATCAATATGATCAATACCCTAGAAAGAGTATAGAAAGCATTTACTGCACGAATAATTGCAAGAGCAGGACTGTTTCGGTTTTTTTCACAAATTGAGACTTTCTATGCTTGGTGCTTCCTTGCTCTCACTGAGAAGAAAAGTTTACGCCTTGCATTGTTCACAGAATTGTTTATAATGCAAGGCTTTCTCGTATAGTCTAATTTCAACACTATCACCAAAAGACACGGTCCAAACTTATGATGGGGAAAGTACGAACACAACAGTTTCATGATTTTTTCCTGGTACGTAATCATAACATGGAATGCACTCTCTGCAAGGGCCATCAAAACTACATCTATATCCGTTCAACAGAAAAGTTCTAAAAAGTTCAAAATCCAAAGGATACTTCTGATGACATCTTTTACCGGATACTGATTATGTAAAGGGGAGTGTCTAGTGGTATGGACTGGTTTCAACCTTATGACTGAGAGACCAGCAAACAGATAAATAAAATAGCGTTTATTTTGATTAAGAAACAATAACACGGCTCTTGGACCAACAATAAACAAAAACGACGAACTATAACTTGGCTAACTTGGCTACGAGGGAAATCCTTCGATTTGACTCTCCAGCAGGGTAAGCCTCGGTCAGTACTTGGGCTATTCGGTCGAAACTTGAAGGGAAATCTGGCTGTCTTCTGACCAGCTCGTTTCAACTCGCAAGCCTCTTCTGCTCACGGCTCCCCTTCTTCCTCCTCTTATATAGCCTGCTGTAAGCTCAAATCGGCCTTTTCTTTTCCCGCCACCAAATATTGTAGATAGGTGATCCTTTCCATCTATGCTCTATTTTGATCAATTTAATTACAATGTAAAAATGGAATAAATGGTGTCCGCTACCTTCAGAAAATCTACGTCTACTTTCGTTTCCATATTTCTTATCAAGTGTCTTAAAATCATGCGTATGACTAAATATTCTCATTGTCTATTTGACCGTGATCTTTTTCGAGATTATCTATAATTCCAGTTCTACTTCCATGTACCCTGGCAAACTGGCAAATTACTTTTTTCTCTAAATCTTGATGTTCTTCTGGAAATCAAACCGGGTCGACCGACTAAAAACTTATGATAGTGATTTCAATGTTTCATGGTGTAGGTTTACTTTTGTAGATTAAGCCCCGCCTTGCAGAGGTGGCTTTGGTCATCAGCTATGGTCAAAAGATCGTTCGAATATATGAGGGTTTGACGAATGTACAGGGCAGGGTAGGGCAAAAGTCTAAGAGCCGACTTTTTACGAAAATACTGTTTGATTCCAAATTTGTGCCACATAATGCACCATCATCTTCTACAAATCACATTCTACCTAGCAAAAAATGCTTGCCCACGTTGTTGTAAGAATTGGATTTTTCAAACAAGTGCTTTTGCAAAGCTAGGAAATCAAAATTTTTAGTTTTCACAACTTTAGCTGAAGATACTGTGAATTTTCTGCAACACGTTGATGTAAACAATGTAAAGGAGACTTTGCGCTATCACAACGTAGTATAATCCCCTCCACAGCTCGTGCTACCCTTGGTTTGCGTCTCAGACTTGCCACGTGTGGCTAACATGTAGGCAACGTGTTAGTTACACGTGGCATGTCCGCGACGTTAAAAGGGTAGCAGCAAATGCGGAAGAGACGAGCGTTTTCCAGAAACTATTCTTTCAAAATTGTCAATAACTTTATTACGGCTGACGTTTCGGCGTCGTCGCCTTTCTCAGAGCGTGAAAAGATCACGAAACATTCATGCTATTCTCTCAAACACTTATCCGAAGACAAGATACAATCCAGCGTCATGGATAGGAGCTGAAACGACAACAGAGACATGAAGAACTGAGTCAGCGCTTACCGAGAGAGCCGTTATGTGAGCAAACCGCCGTATGCGGAGTGCGCAGTAACTGTTAATTACTTTGCGAGCCATTAAGTATCTGACCCTGACCCCGTAGATCAAAACCCACAGAGGGTTTGATGTTGGGCCAGCTCTCTGGTCACGGCGATGCATTCGTCTTTACGGTTCATTTTTGTTGGTTTTTTGAGGTGATCCAAAAAGCCTCTAACGTTTTGCGAGCTATTAGTTCGGGCTCATGCGACAAGATCGTGACTGTTGTTGGAAATAAGTTGTCGCTATGGCATTGCCTGCGATGCGCACCTAGGGCTGTGGATAACTTAGACTTTTCGAGACCGTCCGCTCCTTGATCCTAACGCATAAAGGCCTACCAGCCTCCCCCATGCATTGATCCCCACACAGCTGACATGTGATAACGTAGACCACTCCCGACTCCAAGCAATCACCTGGTCCCATATAGTCACACAGCGCAATGAAAACTTGGGCACAGGCGGTCGTATGCGCGATTACGTACCAATTGTTTTTTGAGATTGGGGGGGGGGGGATATCTACAACCCTAACGTGCTCTTCAAGCCCGGCGTGGCGTAAGCTTCTTCTTATTGCTTTACTGAAATCATCCGATATAAAAGGAACGCAAAATGGCATTTTGGCAGGTTGGTTAACTGCACGTGGTCTGCGTGCTGGCCGACGAGTGTACTTTGACGGGTGACTCCAAGCAATCACCTGGTCCTCCATATGGACATATAGCGCAATGAGAACTTGGGCACAGGCGGTCGTATGCGCGATTACGTACCAATTGTTTTTTGAGATTGAGGGGCGAAATATCTACAACCCTAACGTGCTCTTCAAGCCCGCGTGGCGTACAGGGCTTATCAAACGCAGTGTCGCTTGCACCAGCATCTCCACTCCCGCGTTGGACTCTGCGTCTCTTCAGGGAACATGATCTCTGATAGTACTCTGCGTTGATACCACTGCTT